AGAATACTGCGCAGTAGACAGGAGCCAAGAGTGCCAGGCGATTTCGACGAACGGGGAGTTCGGGATCAGAGTCGGTGGCAGAGGCGCGAGACGAGAATGGAGTCGGGTGCCATCCGATATGGATCCCCCCTTCACAACTCCCGGGTCTTGGCTTCTTTCTTCAACGCCGATCGTCGGATTTTCTGTCAGGGTCGCTGGCGAGATGGGGGGCGTGACACCGTGACACGCATCGGGGAGGAAAGGGTGTATGGGAGGAACTCGAGGGAGGGAACCAGTCAGCGTTTTCAATTCGCGTGTCTCTGTCTCGCTCGTGGAGAATGTTTAAAAAGGCTCATGGTTGTAGTTTGGGCGGATTCCAGAGCAAGCCAGTGTCTTGCATCCTGAGACTTTGATGATCCTTTCAGTGGAGAAAATGGGACATTATTCTTCAACGGGTTGTGAATTCAAGATTGCATTCTTCGCACGACAGAGTGGGAATCGATCAGGACCGTTGAACCACCGATACATCGACCACGGACTTGGAGACCTCCTGTCTCTGATGTGGCCACTGCGGCGGGGTGCGGTTGACATGACGATCACCTCGCGGTATCTGGACGGAACCTGCGCCGCTGCGATGCTGCGGATGTAACTGTAGGATGCAGGATGGGGGCATTGTTAGGACATTTTATTCCAGAGGCTGCATGGGAATAATGATACCCTACCTGGTCGTTGCTCGGGCCTCCTTTTTTCTGGATCACGGACTGGGGGCGCGAAAGAAAGTGATGACTTACTCGTGGGCATGCCTCCCGGTTTCCGAGTGACGCTGGTTCTCTGCAACTGTTCTGACTGGTGGTTGCCTTGACCTGCTCGTAACACAAAGCTTCTTTGAAGAAGCTAGACTCTTTTGTCTGGTAGCTTCGTTTGGATGGCACAGTTCGCGTGTAACAGCGTGCTTTTAAACTTAAACTAGATAGCCTTCAGAGGGCTGACGCCGTTTTTGTGATCAGATTTCCCACTTGGCGCGCTCGGCAAATTTGTTTCGTCGTTTTGCTCTCCCAAACTAGCCGCCTCGTTTTTCATGAACATTTGGCACGGGCACGATCTGGTCATCAGAGACACGACGCTTTTGCCGCCGGGCCGGTGATTGACATGGTGTAAGCACCTAGAATTTTGATTGCAATTTGCGACAAACCTGTGTTGACAGCTGTCAGGGAGAGTTTTATCCACTGTAACCTGAGTCAAGCGCTCGGAGAATTACTGCTCCAATTTAAGCCCATTTTACACATAACCTGCACCCAATACTGCAACGATTCATGAAGTGGTTGTCACTGGTCAGATAGGCTCATCATGTCAGGTACGAGACGGCGTGATCCCACTATTTAACACTATTGTTTTGCATTACTACAAGATTATTACAGTATATATAGGCGTGACCCTACCCCTAGGTTTCCGTACTATTTAACCTTAGCCTTTTTTATAAATTAACCTTTCTTTTCTTCTTTTTACCCTCTTCATTTATTAAAAAATTGCTAAAATTACAGTTTCAATACTTTATTAATAAATTAATATTAACTATTATTTAAAAATAAATAAGTTAATCTAATTTTATTTATAAAATATTAAAACTCTTATTATCATAGAGATAATAATAAATTTATTAGAATATTCAAATAAGCTTTAAAATAAACTTTTAATATTATTTAAAGTAGTTATTAATTCTTAAATTATAAAACAAATGAACAATAATATAAGTTATATAATAACAAAGAAAGTAAATATATAATTCTGGCACGATAGCTTTAAGAAGTAAGTGATAAGACTCTTATACAAAAGTATTAAATGGTAAATATTCATATAGAAGCAAGAATATATGAATATAGGGGTAGTTAAGCGTATATAAAAGAGGTTGATAAATGTAAAGAGAGTATATAGTTAGATTACTATATGAGAAGTTGCTTGCTTAACGAAAGGTCTAAGTAGGTAAAAAGATGCCCTTATATAGGCATAAGATCCTCCGACTAGAATATTTCATTGCTTATTAATTATATCATAATTAATAAGCATATACGTAAGTGAATGCGTAATCGTAATACGTAATACCTTTCAAGTAAATTCCAGTGCATTCTATTACCTTCCAGTGCCTTCTTTCGCTCACGTAAGCTTACATAACCAATCTTGCTTACGTAATTAATATCTATATTAATCTATAACTCTTATAGATTAATATGATATATAATATGCTTACGTAATATGAATAATAAGGCAAATACTAAGGTAAAAGATTTATCTTTCCAACAATAATAAAGTAATTATAATAATTATCTTAAGTAGGCGCTTACCAGTATCTACTTGATAATTATTAATGAATATAGCAAATAAGTAAGTAAAAGATACATTTAGTGTTAGGACTCATATATAAAATAGATTTAAGCTGGGCTTTGAATAGACTTCTTATAGCTTTCTTAATAATTAACTTTGTATTAGATCTTATAATCGCTTCGAATTCTTTTCTTTAAAAACCTCATTAATAAGACTATAATTAATTATTCAAGCCTTCTTTACCTTAAGACTTATAAATATAGCTTTCTTAAAGCTATTTACGCCTACGATACTATTTAGTAGTTCCTGTAACGGTGTGGGCCCCACAAGGGCAAATGCGGCAGCAGACACAACAAACCATTGCGCTAAATGCGCACCCGGGCTTATTCAGCCAAAAGGTACGTAATGAACAGATCCCTCTCTGTTCATTCTGCTGCACTTAAGTACGTGTGCACGGCTCGTAAGGCTTACGGCGTAGCCTAAGCCCACACAGGGCTCCAGCCCGTGACAGTTCCGTAGCCTTAACTTCTGCAAACATACCTCACTACGACTAGCTGGCCGTAATATAAGCAAGTATTATTTTATTTTATTAAAACTGTATTCTCGTATCTATGACTTATATAAAATCTTTTCTTTAATAATAAGGTACTTGGAGACGCCGTGATCCGGATAATGCATGTTTTTGAGGGACTTCAGAGAGGAGTCTAATATAAGATGTCCGAGCACACCGGGGATCTCAATATTAGTCTGATTTACGGCGGGGACCAACACGCCAAGTCTTGAGATTGCAGCGGCAATGAGGATACAGGAAGCTCGTACTCCATTAAATGTCTCCGTTTCAACAAGAGTGGCCGTTAGAATTGCTGGTTCATCGAACAATGCTGGCTATCGGCAATAGTTCGCTCTCAGCAGGCAGACGTTGAAAACTTACCTAGATATAGTAATTGCACGTCATAAGTCGGCCGGCGATTAATACTATATCTCAAGATGGTGGGGATTGAGAACTCGACCACTAAGGTCGAGCCTCGCAACTTGGAGGCTCACGAAAGTCTCAACGTCCAGGAAACTCGAACCTTCACTTCCGCATCAGCCGGCAAATCTTCCCCTCGTTCACATCGTCTCGTTGCAACGCGAAAACTACATCACAGTCCACGTGGGTGATTTGGACCGAGGTCTGTGTGCTGATATCACCTCACTAGAAACTGCCAATCACCCGAGGACGTCACTTGTCATGATCTGAATCGTTACACAAAGACATGGTGCGGCGATGCGGCTTCCTTTTTCAAACCGGGAACCGTGGGATGCATCCGCGATAGCCAGCTGAGATCTTGCTTTCGGTCTTAGAACGGCGGAATTATAGGCCATTTGAAGCCAATGATGGTTGCTTATGAGGCTTGGGAGGCAGAATATCTCTGCCGCTATTGAAGGCATTTAGACCGAGAATTATAACCGTTTCGGGGACGTGACTCGCTGCGATTGAGCAGACAAGATAGTAGCCGATGCGAGCGCAACCTCGTGGTGACTGGCGAGAGTGATGTGAGGATTGGGATGCATTGAACAATGCGACTTGACGTTTCTTGGCTTGACAGGCCACCACTATTGCCTCATTGGCGAGTTGGGACGACTCGATGGCATCTTGGCTCCGTCACATAGGAAGGGGGGCTTTTGTCACAATCGTCGCACGAAGCGCTTCTTAGTTATTAATTCTTTCTGTTAATCGCCAGTCAGTGTTTAAGAAAAGAAAAAGCTTACGGCGCAAAAACTCGCTGAAACACACGGTTCGCCCCCAATGATGTGCGCTACACTGACTCGAGCTCTCGTCGCAGAGCAAGGAACCGGGATGTTGGCGCCTCTCACTTCAGCAACGCCAACGCGAAATCTCGAGATCGTGGGGTTGCAATCTCCTCTTTTTCCTTTCCTCCCACTCTCCTTTCCAGGCTTCAGCGTTGTAGTTGTGCGTGTCAGCGATCACAGGCTTTGATCCAGTACTTGTTCTTTTCCCCGGCGGCAAATCCGTGGCGCATCGGGGAGAAAGACGTGCCTCGTGGGATGTCTTGCCATGTTTCGCTGTTTCGAGGTTAGGCGCCTCACAGGCGCGCTCTGCATGTCTTAGTTGCATGTGAGACCAGGTTTGGACCTGGATGCAATGCTTGCAAAAGGTTGATCGTACTACAGAAGAGGAACTAGCCTGCAACTTTGGCGCAAAAGAAAAGGTGTGGAATGGTGACAACGTGGCTGTCCAAGCTCTTGCCTGCCGGGGCCAACTGTTTCTCTGGCCCTTTAAGACTCATTCGGACGACGACCGGGGACATGGGAGGACGACTCGAGGAGGCGGTTTGCGAACGTCGCTCTTGGTGGGAACTAGTTCAACTAGGGGGGAGGGTTGGGGTTGTATTCGCACGGACGCCTTCAAGCAGGACCAGACAGAGAGATCAGCACGGCATCGTGGGCCGCCGGGGCTTGAGAGCCCATGATGCTTGTCCAGCTTTCTTCGCCCACCAACAACAGTTGTGTAAGTCTTTATTGTAGCAATCTTCCTGGCGTAGTGGGAAAAGGGGGCATGGTTTCGACTGTGGAAAGGAACATGAGAGACAGGACCCTTTTCCAAGTCTACGCCTTGCCTTCCCCGGTCTTATCTGTGCATTTGGCATATGTCAAAGTGGGCACGACGAAGAAACGATGACCCAGGCCCATTTTCTCATTCCTGTGAGCAGAATATATTACCACGTCCGTGGAACGGGTCAAATCGTTCTAGAGTCGATCTCTCTTTTTGGAACCCGGCGTTTATCTTTTCTTTTCCCCCTTCTTCCCACAATCTCGAGATATGAATGGAGCTTGCTTCGATTCTGACATCTCATTCGCTTCCATTTTGACGTCTTGCCTTGTCTAGGTGGTGTTCCAGCCCCTTTTTCGTCAATCTCAACCTAAGCTAATGTCTGGTTTGCGTCCGTGGTGATCGCCATGGACGGAGCAACTATTCATGCGCTGTATGGGACGGCCGACAACTCGGGCGAGCCGCAGCCCTTGATGAACAAGCCCTCTACTATTCTGGGCGTTGTCATCGCCTTTGCGGTAAGGTCCTAGCTATATGGAAGCATTTCCAAAGAAACCGCTACTGACGATATTTCCTAGATTATCTCATGGATGTGTGTCGCCTTCCGGATGTACGTACGGGCCAAATTGGTCCAGTCATTAGGGTGGGATGATTGCTTCGTGATAATGTCGTTGGTGCGTAACCTCGTTTGACCCCTTTTAATGACGAATAATGTCACACGATTTCAACATAGTTGACCACAACGACTGGATCCGTGGGAATCTGCGTTGGTAAGACCACTCAATCTCCCCTTTCTTCATTGTGAAACTAATGTTTCGGTGCATAGCTACCAAGTATGGAATGGGAAGACATATCTATACCCTCTCTGCGATAGAGATCCAAAACTACCTCCGAGTACGAAATAAACCAGCCGATAGTCGCCAACGACCTCGATGTGCTAACAAAGACCGCCCCTCTTAGACCTTCTATGTCGCAAACGCATCCTACCAAATGTCAACCGCCTTTATCAAAATCTCTCTCCTATTTCAGTACCTCCGCATATTCGACCGACCATCCTTCATACGATCACTCTGCATCTACCTGATTGTCTTCATCGGCCTATGGGCCACCGCCTACTCGTTCTTGGGATGGGTCCCCTGCGTGCCGGTTGCGGCGTACTGGAACTGGCTCATCCCGGCCAAGCGCTGGGCTTACGGCTCGCTCAACTCCGACATTTTCTCGGGAACGTACGAGAGCCATTCTTCAGTCAACTTCGTACTGGATGTTCTCGTCCTCGCTATCCCGGTTCCCCTCTACTTCAGACCTCAGCAGTCGCTTAGGTCGAAGTTGAGACTGCTTGCGCTGCTGGTCATTGGCATTGCGTACGTCTTGACCCCGATTGGTCCACCTATGGAGACACCTTACTCTGAAGATCTCAAGAACGCTAACACAGGTTGCAGAGTCAACGGCGTCTCTGTCGTCCGAGTATACTCCCTTATCCAGCATCGATCTGCCACGCGCCCGACCCTGGACCCGATGTGGTACGGCCCCCTCAGCATCGTTCTATCCGCCGTCGAAGTCGACCTGGCCATGATAGCCAGTAGCGTCCCGATATTCTGGCCCGAATTGCGGCAGCGATTCCCCGGTATCTTTGTCACCAAGGAGGTCGAGGTCACGAGGGAGGTCCGGAGACTGGAGAGCGTGGAACTCGAGGACGACATGGAGATGGAGCCGGATCGGCGGTCGCGGGTCGGCAGCGAAGCGAGTCTTCGGCAAGAGAACGTGAATCAGGGCGGAGGGGCGGGCGGGCGATACATGGACGAATTCATCGCGAACCAGGTTGATCCACTGAGGAAGGCCAAGAGTACGGTGACCGAGGTTAAGGCCGGTGAGGAGGTTCAGGGGAGCTGGTGGCAGAAGGGTCGGTTTGGGTGATGAACGTGAGGGGACTGCAGGCTTTGCTCATGGCAGATTGGTTACACACCAGCTTGTTCGGAATGAAAACAGTAACATCCACAGGGACTTCTCTGGTCCAGAGCAGATCCACCGCTGGCGGTATGATGTGGCTTCCATTCTACTAAGCATGGTCCATTCTCCTTCGGTGACTTTGCGGCCGCGTCCCTTGGCCAAGAGTGGCTCCGTGACTTTGTGTGAGAGAAATCCCGTTGGCCTTTCTTGGCGTCTTTTGGCGCTCGTGGTCTCTGATAGGGGGCGCATGATTCTAGAGACAGAAGGATCTATGGGAGGATCCCTCTATTATGTCATACACGGTCAGACCTTTCATTATCGTTGATTTCGACAGTATTCCAAGTACTCAGGCATAGCAGATGGGGGAGTCCGGCCGTGTTACACCACAAGTCCAGGTGATCTATTTCAGGACCTTCTCAACGGTGTGCAGCGTCCGGGGCTGTGGCTTACAAGTCATGAGGTCACCCAGACGAATGAGCGTGAGCAGACAGTTGTATCGTTCAAAGATAAACAGTGTATTACGCAAGGAGTCGAACAGAGAAATTATTGTTATGAAATTAAGTAAAGTATGTAAAGTCTGCTACCAGTCTAAGTCTAAGCAGCTAGTGAAAGTTGATGCTGGAGCCTGAGCTCGTTGTATCTAATTTGGGCATATCGCGCGTTGCGGTATGCCATTTCCCCCAAATTCAAATTCCACGATTGTAGCCAGAACGACCGTCGGTATTGATGTCAGAGGCCTCCTCACCGCGCTTGTTGTAACCTGAGCGCCCATCGGTACCAACAGCAGAGGTGTCCTCGCGCTTGTTATATCCAGAACGCCCATCAGTGGATGCGTCGGCGACTTCCTCGCGACGGGTGATTCCGGAAGCTCCGTCTTCCACTCCGTTATAACCAGAGCGGCCGTCCTCTTCCTCTCGCTTGTTGTAGCCCGACCGTCCATCGGTTGTAATAGCAGAGACTTCCTCACGCTTATTATATCCAGAACGCCCATCAGTAGTAGAAGTCAGCTCCTCTCCACGTCTGTTGTATCCGGTCCGTCCGTCGGTAGTGGCATCAGTAGTCTGTTCGCGACGGTTGTACCCAGATCGTCCGTCCGTAGTTATAGCCGTGTTTTGTTCGCGGCGGTTGTATCCAGAACGACCATCCGTGGTAACATCTGACGTCCCCTTGCCGTTGCGTCGGTTATACCCAGAGCGACCATCGGTCGTGATAGCCGTCTCTTCTTCGCGCTTGTTGTATCCGGATCTACCGTCTGTGGTCACGACTGAGTCTTCGCTGCGGCGATTATATCCGGAACGTCCATCGGTACTAACAGTCGCCTCTTCGTTACGACGGTTGTAGCCAGAGCGACCGTCCATAGTAATAACAGTGTCATCACGACGGTTGTAACCGGAGCGTCCATCTGTGGTAATAGCGGTGCTCTCATCCCGGCGGTTGTACCCAGAGCGCCCATCTGTAGAGATAACCGTGTCTTCCTGCAGGAGATTGACGTCTCGGATCCGAGGTGTAGCGGTATTTGTTGCTCCGTGAGCTCGACGTTCACAGCTGTTGACTTTTTCTGTGATCTGGTGTAAAGTCAGCGTTATGAAGTCGCTAAGCTGGAGAGATGATGCAAGCTCAGAGGTCTTTGGAAGGGCTACATGGAACTTACTGCTGACAAAATGGTTTCGCCCTTAAGGAAAGACAAGACTAAGGTGGTGGCATAGAGAGCAACTATGAGGATACGTCCAGCTGGGCGCCGGACAGGACGAGCATTGGGAATAGGCCCATGGATCGGCAGGATGGTGTCTTGTTTCATTTTGAATAAAGATTTCAGCAAATTATGCTTGGTGAGGGTAGCAAAGCTCGCTGCGCAGGATACAGTATGAATGAGGTAGACAAGGCGCGATATAGAGCTTTGAGCTGGTTCTCAAGTAATAATAGAGACTTAGGCAAGATGAATGACCAAGATATCAAGTAAGGAGTCGTTTGAAGCTTATGAAGTTAGAGTACAATGGAACAAAGAAACGAGAAACACTAGTATAAATAGACGACTAAACAGTTTTCTCTTGGAAGGCAAACCAGAACGAAGACACTCAAAAGTTGAGGCGTAGGAGGCACAGACACCAAGTACGAAGATACACGGCCACCGGCCCTCTCAGCCCGGATAGCAATACGACACAGCCGCTGCAGCCCTATGCAAGTTGCCATGATCTCTCAAGTTGAGACATGCAGTGCGACTGGTCTTGATCCGGTTCCTCGTGAGAAACTGAAGGGTTGCCTAAACTAAAGTGGAAACAAGATTCAGACTCGGCCCCCACGAAGCCGCCCGGTGTGATCGCGGAAGCGGTTGTGTTCGCCGTACCCTGTTCAAGTCTGTGGTGACCGGTGCCCGACTAGGTGCCAAGCCCGAGCCTCATAGGTCGCCCTACAGCCTGTTGCAGTGCTGCCAATGCTGAAGGATTTGGCCTCGCCATCATCGGCCGGAGATGCCCGGCGAAGAAGACGGAGTGCGAGCCTGCCTGGTGTTCCGATTCCTTGTCAGCGGAAAGGACCTTAACCTTCTTTGGGGGTCCTGGAAAACCAGGGTTCGCGCCCGTTCCAGGGGTCAACCAACGGTGTTCCTAGGGTTTCTTGGGGAGAAACGGCCCCCAACAGGAAACAAGGGGGGCGGCTGACTTGCGGCCGTGGGAAGGGCCGTAGCGACGCTGAAGGATGTTGCCAATTCGAGGGCGTGATTGGTGTAGGAATGTGATGAGTCTACTTATCCGGTGCGGTCTTATTCTCAATTGCTCCTTGCCTAGACCTCGGGCAAGTCTGTGCCACACTGCTTCGCCTCCGTTAGTAAGATCACGATGATACAGTCACGTCTTGGGCTGATTGAACAAGGCTATCTCGTTTAGGAGACAGTAAGTTGTTGCCTGACAAGATGGGGCACACTGAGTAGAGGAGAACCCTGAGTGGGCTGCTGGACAGCTGCATGACAAGTTCCAACAGCTCGAAAGTGGTGCCCACATGACTTTGTGCGATAGCCGAGATATGCATGAGGTTAGACTGTCCATGTCTTGTCGCGGACGTTGAAGGCACCCTCCGACATGTTGATCAAGGCTCCAACATCTTGGCCTGCCACAATTGTCTGTGTCTGCCATATTTTGACTCATTCTATGTCAATTGGTGATAGAGAGTTGGTTGTGCAAAAGTACCACAAAAGTACCGTTTGTTACTTACTCTACGAAAAGACTAGGAAGTCTGAGTGTTCCCATTGGTCGGAGGGAGTGCCTAATCGACGATTACGGCTTCCAAAGTGTCGTTCGATGCTGACAGGCGAAGGATTCGGTTAACTAGGATCCTGTCAAGCCTGTAACAGTATCACACTGCATTCAGTCACGCAACGAGAGGGGAAATATCATGAAGTCTGTCATCCATTCATTTCTCGTCTATTTTTACTCCGAGGATGACCTAAACACCCACGGCTTGAGTGATACCCCTAATGGGAGTCAGTAGGTCGGATGCGTGCATCTTTCTTAGAAGTGCGAGCCGCCACCGCAAGGTCCATCGTGGGAGTGACCGGTCAATTCAGCAGCACGCTTGAGGTGCTGGGCCGTGTCTGCAGCCCACCTGCGCTTCTTCAACTCAACAGCAGGAAGAGTTTCCCAGCTCATGGCGTACTTGGCGACACTGTGAGCAATAGCCTTGGTGTTGACAAGGTAAGCATCGTTGTCCAGGTTGGTAATGTCGTCGCCGATCAAATGGTAGTTGACATCGTAGGCAACACCAACCTCGCCACCAAACAGCGCGGCCTCGGCATCCGTCTTGAGGCCCTCGGCACCAGTGAACAATCCACCAGACGGGATACCGTTCTCGATGAACCCTGCGTAGTCGGAGCGGCCGTTGAATTCGGTAGGAACGTGGCCCAGACCCTTGGACTCGAAGAACTGCTCAAAGTCTTTCTCAATAACGTCGGAGCCGGCGGGACCAGTGAAGTTGAAGGCACTGCCGTCACCGTCGTAGATGGCGAGCTTGGGATTGGGGCTGGCGATCATGTCGAAGTTGAGGTATGCGCGGATCTTTGAGATTTCCTCTTCGGAGCTGTTGAGAGACTTGACGTAGAAGTAGGAGCCGAGCTTGCCGTACTCCTCCGCACCCCAGAATCCAAGTCGAACGGCGTTCTTGGTGGTGAACTCGGTGAGGGCCTTGGCGACGGTGAGAACACCAACGGTACCGGATCCGTCGTCGCTGGAAGAGAAGGTTGGTTAGTTTCTTTCTGTGATCGGATTTGAGGGTAATTAATGTTGACTTACTTGATTCCAGGTCCAGCGAAAACTGAATCGGAGTGGCCTCCAATCATCAGGACATTGTCATGGTCTCCGCCCCTTGTCTCAGCAATGACGTTGTAGTTGACACGGTTCTCAATGATGGAAATGACATTGAGATCGAGAGTGAGCTCCTGGCCAGCTGCGAGGGACGCAACGAGAGCCTGTCCCTCCTCACGGGTAATGCCCACGGTCGGGGCATAACCATCTGATGCCGCGCCTAGGGTACCGGAAAGCGCGCCGACATCGTTGTTGTAGATGATAGCTCCAACAGCGCCGGCAGACTTGGCGAGGGTGGCCTTCACTGCGAAATTGCAGGTGCCTCTCGACACGAGCGCAACAGCACCAGAGACTTCGGCGGGGTAGTCGGACGCCTCACACCCAAGGTTGGCGACGTTAACCAAGATAGCGCCGGTCAGGGATCCGCCGGGTGTGTATGTCAGAGGGCGGGCGTCAATGGCATCACCTGCGACGGTGAGAGTCGCCTTGGCGCCGGCGAATGCCTCGGTGAAGGGCTGCTTGTAGACGTCGTAGTAGTCGAGTTTCTCAAGCTCCTCGACTAGCCAGTCTACAGTCGCATTGTGACCGCCGCCACCGAAGGCGCGGTTTCCCTCGTGGGCGTCCGCAATGTCCTGGAGCTTCTGAGAGCCGGCCAGGAGGTCTTCGATGTTGATGAGCTCCTGGAGCTTCTCGGACTCGACGTAGGGCTTGCACTTGACAGCGCTGGTCAGCGCCGGCAGGGCCAATGCGAGAGCGGCCGTCCTCATCTTGTGGGCTGTTGCTACACGACTGGCTGGGCCTTGGACAAGATTGTAGGTGGCAGAAGACCGTCGTGTGTTGACTGAAGACAAGAACCTAGTCGGTGAGCTAGCGAGCGAGGAGGTGCTCCAAATAAACTGGCCGGAAAGCAGCGGCTCGATGGTTTTTTAGACTTCCCTGAACCACGGAATTGGAAGCGACGCATGCATCTCTCCGCTCGCGTGATCACCGCCAAGGCGATAGATAAGGAAGCTGGTGATGTTGCTGGCAACTCACCGACCGGAGCCACTGTCAATTAACCTCGACGCGTACTAGACTCCCCAGAAACGCGGGGACGAGGGACTTAATGAGGAAGCCCAGAGCCAATATTTTCTTCTGCTCCATTGCGACTGTATCGCGACCTGCCCGATACAGGAACGGCCTGACGCGCCAATGCGATTGCGCAGCTCGGTTACGCCGTGGAACTTCTTGGCATTGCAACCCAATAAGGTTGAGCCGCCGGTGCGCCAATGACAATAACACAAAGTTCCAGCCACAATTTTCCATGATTCATTCCTCGTTCAGTAAGTCATCGAAGGTCGTGAAAGCTCGCTTTCGCTCGTCGTGAGAGATTTGACTCCTGGTTGGCATATGTGACCTCGTGGCTGAGTCTTCAGAAAGAAGTCAGTATGGATACACAAGTCCCCTTTTAGGCCACGACTCCAGTCACGGAGTGCATGGATGTTTCTTTAATTAGCCAATCTTGTAGAAACGGCTGCATGGATAAAGGCGGTTTGGTTTCTCAAGGCACAAAAAGTGAACAATTGGGAAATGGTAGGCAGCGGCCATAGGTCCGTGTCTCCAAAGTCTTGGGGCCATCTGCCATCTGATGTTAGGGAAAGTGTCAATGCAACACGCCATCAGCATCACGTGAGTTAGCGTGAATGTCTGACTTACATCAACCGTCAACCATCACGATTTCGATGTGTTTTTTTGCCTTTTTCAAATTGCTAATTACCCCGTCTGAGTCCATGTAGACCATCACGTTTGACAACACCATATGAGGGGCGCTATCTCGTAGCTCTCGAACACAGCACTGAGGGCTTATGGAGAAATACACATTGAGTTTGATGTGGCAGGTGAGCTACTGTATCCTTGAACTTGAGTGGAAAAAAATTCCCGATGCGATTGATCTTTAGGCCTACGAAAATAAGGTTGAGCTTCTCCAGGTGGCATCATTCAGATTGAGTTGGAGATCAATGCGCCAAGCCTACCGTCCTCCGACCTTGGCGGCTGCTTTGTCATGACTTGAGGACTGCGCGGCATTGTTGACTCAAGGGTAACATGAAATTCGATCAAGGAATATTCAACCGGGAAAGGAGAACAAAGGGCCCGTTGGAATAATTACAAAAACCTGCGAACCCAACGATGGGCTTGCAAGCTTTCATCTGCAAGAAGCTACGACCTTGGGAACTTGAGGAGCCGCTAAGCTAGTCGCGAACTGCGGCTCGTGGAGGATCCGGGAAAGTAGTTCATGTAAGAGACCATAGAAACCAGGGGTTCAAGCCACAAAATGGACTAACGTTGAAGATCGGCATTTGAACAAGGGCACCGGAAGAGAGCCGTTGCAACGGACTCTCGACTAAGATTGGGTTTTCATCATTGCCAGAATGAACGGAAAGAGCGGTAGGTCTTCGCTATCCAGCTGCTGCTGGTATATTAAACATCCTGAACCGTCGAGAACTTGCAAAGAAGAAATTTTTCAATGGTCTGAAGTTGTTGCTCCAACCGTTGATCCATCGAGACTTTACGCACACCTGTATTAAACATTTGCTTCACACGGGTAGTCTCGTTGTGTCCTCGACTAATCTCTGGGTAACTAAGAAGAAGTTGCCAAAGATGCAGATTTCTTTGAAGGTACTGGGCTCACTGCCCGTTGCATTCGCACTTCCTACTTTCCCGGGCGCCGGCAGTGGGTGCCCGTTCCAGTCGATGTTACCGCCGTCAACGTCAACGCCGGGATTTGATGCAGCATGCCGGCTCAAGCCAAATCATTTTACCTGGACACCACCGGATCCTGGAGACGGTGAGTTAAGCTTGAATCAGTCTGCCATAAGTCTCCCTTACTGACATTGAAGTTACCCAGTGCGCGCACCCTGTCCGACGTTGAATACTCTCGCCAACCACGGCTTTCTGCCTCACGATGGTCGAAATATTACTCTCGATATTGTCATAAAAGGTCTCAAAGATGCGATGAATATTGAAGAAGCACTAGCAACGGCTGCCTTCACACCAGCATTGCAACTGAACTCAATATCCAACGCAAATGTGAGATGCCATACCTTTGCTGAAGATGTTCTATCAAAGCCTCGGCGACGATCATTGGTCGTTGCCATGAACTTGGTGAACCTTGTACTGATATCTTGTGTAATCCAGTATATCGACCTGGACATGCTGAATAAGCACAACGTCATCGAACACGATGGCAGCTTATCACGCCGAGACATGTACTTTGACCCTTCCAACCGTTTCGATAAGGGGACCTTCGACGCTTTCGTTGCCTACTTCGGCGATGGAACGACGATCAGCACTACCATCATGGCCAACGCCAGAGCAAGACACGCTCTGGCCATGAGTCAGATGAACCCGACATTCACTCTTCCTGAGTCATCCGCACCCTTATTCCTGGGCGAGTCAGCCCTGATGTTGGCTGTCTGGGGCTCTCCGAATAAGCCAGTGGCCAATAGGTCGTTCCTCGAATACTTTTTTAGTAAGACTTAGTTATCCTTTCAAAAGTCAGAACCTACATTCATCGCCCAGGCGCTAAAACCGAATAGGAAACGAGAGACTACCAGTAGTACTCGGTTGGGTTCCAAACGATACCCCCATCACTTCAGCCATCATCTCACAGATCGCCAACGATATCGCCACGCAGACACCTTCTGATGTCCCTCTAACTTATACGGCACAGCATTCTTAAGCAATATGTGGAAATATGCGATGATTTTATGTGTCACAAAATCGGATGGCCATCGTGCCTGGGAATAGATGTACAATATCTGTGTGTCAGAGATGCTTGCACGGATAAATGAGTTCTGCGCGCCGAGGAAAAAGGGGGACTAAATCAAGGATACCAAAGCGTTAGAGCCTTTGACAGTATAAATACACAAAAGTTTCACGTAGGCCTCGAGCTTCTGAAAATCACAAAGTACACCTATGTCTGCAATTATTTATATCTCACATGCTCCAAGTGCCTTCATACTGCATATATCTGATCTCTTTAATCACCATTGTTACCTGTCGTAGCGTACGTCTGTCTACCTTACATTATGCAAGACGCCGGCCGTCTGCGTAGTACCTTTCTGTACAATTGGCTCCTTGGGCAACTCTCAAGCATGGCCTCTGTCACATATTCAGTTCTTGAATCGCGTTAAATGTTATACTTTACTAAGTAAAATCCACAGAGACCGAGAATGTCAGGCAATGCAATGGAGCCTCCAAACAAAAGAGACCGGGAATTGCGCTCGTCTGCTAGCTGCAACGTTACGTGTGATAGGAAATGATAATAGTACGGAGGTCAGCTGCATTCAGTAACCCTGAGACTGAGGGCATTTGAGACTGTGTCTATGACGTTCGCGCATGCTGTGGAACCTTTGACAACTGAAGTGAAGAGATGGATGTAGCAGTAAGTTTACATGTGATCTATCAAATGGCGGCTCGACTTGGAACAACCTTTTACATAGAAATTTTCCGGTCATTTCCCGATCATTGCTTGATTCTGGCCGTTCAATGTCAATGAATTACTTCCTCCGAGCTGAACTTGAACGCGATGTAGTTGGCAACATTAGCCCGAGGCAAC